AAGATGCTAACGTCAGTAGGTATTGTGTTAATGTAATTATTGGGCTTCTTCCACCATTTTTTAAAACTTTACCCACAGTTTCATCATTCTTCAATGTTGATCATCTTTCCTTCCTTGGCTTATCTCTGAGATATTTCCAAGCTGCATTAAATGCTTGATCCACCTATAAAGTGTTGTCTTATGTGATGTAACATTCTATACCCTGCTGTTTTATGTGGGGCAACATTCCCGTTAATTTTTACAAAGCTTCAAGGATTTGAAAAAAAAAGTTCACTTGAGTTGTACTAAAATTTTGTTTTTATCCCTGAGTTCAAAATTATTTTGTTTGTTTGCCCTGTGGCAAAGAAAGTATCCCTTTTTTTTTTTGAAGGCAACCTAACAAAACATGGAATAAGGAAAACAGAAGAATCAATGGATTTGAATTATGCTGCTGTCAAAGAATGTTGAAAGTATCATGGACTGCCAAAAGAACAAACACATCTGTCTTGGAAGAAGTGCAGCCAGGGTGCTCCTTAGAGGCCAGGATGGTGAGACTTCTTCTCACATGCTTTGGACCTATTCTTAGGAGAGATTGGTCCTTGGAAAAGGACATCATGCTTGGCAAAGCAGCGGGGCAATGAAAATGAGAAGTGCCCTTGAAAAGGAGGAATGCCCTTGATAAGATGGGCTGACACTGTTGATGCAACAATGGACTTAAACATAACAATTGTGAGGCTGGTGCGGGACTGCAGTCTTTGTTCTGTTGTACACAGGGTTGTGATGAGTAGGAATACACCCAAAAGATACAAGGGCACTTATCCCGCACCCAACAAAATCAAGAGAGCCTGACCTGCACCCCACAAAATCAAGAGAGCCTGACCTGCACCCAACAAAATCAAGAGAGCCTGACCTGCACCCAACAAAAACAAGAGAGCCTGACCTGCACCCAACAAAAACAAGGGAGCTCCATTCTTCGTTCCCCATGTGAAGTTAGAAGTATGACACAACCCTGTCCCCTTCTTATAAAAACATTATGTACTGTGTTAATTTTTAAAAATTTAATCATGTTGGATCAACTATTGGGCACATGTAGTCCCCATCACCTACAAATAAACAGTTCTGTCAATAGGCTACATTATATATATATTTTAGTTTAGCCACTTTGCATAAAAACTGACTCTCAGTCTTCAAATGTTTCAAAGAAAAAATTTAAGCAAATGTAAACATTTTCTCTAGTTTGTTAAAAGTGAACCTTGAAATCATAAAATTTAAATCATAAATTTCAATAATTATGTCACTTACATACCAGTTTACTCCTTCATATTCCTAATAAGGTAAAAATGGAATTGTCATCAAAGGGCAAACCAAAATGCTAAATCTGATATTTTTCATTCCTATGAATTGTCTTTTACTTTCCCTCCCAATGTCTACCTTTTTATCTCCTTCATACTTGAGACACTAAAGGTTTTCGGTTCACTTCATATCATTTCCTCCTTTCAAAACTGAGAAGATATTTGTTTCTTTCTAAACTGTTTATTGATAGGCTAATCAAGCTTTTAGGAAGTTTCAATTTCAAAGTGTCGTTATTCAACCGACCATTTGTCTTTTAAGACTTTTATTTCTAAGTATAAAAATAGTAGACATCTTCGAACATATAGAAAGGTTTTTTGAAGAGCTGAAATTATATTATATTGACTATATTATATTGACTAGTAGGAATCTTATTGATGATATGAATGCCTATAATTCAGAGATTGATAAATCAAATTGGCAGAAATTACTTGTCTCATAGATAATTACCTTTGATGATTATAAGTCGCATCCACAGAGCTACACTGTCAGGACTGTGAAGTCGACCATCTGTGTCAAGTTTACTTCGCATTCATTCCAGGAAATCATTACTCACGATAATCATGCTGCTACTAATTCATTCCAGGAATTCCAGGCAAGTATTTTTTTAGGCAAATAGTTTGCTCACCTGAACAAACAACTCACTTTCCAGACAACAGTTTACATTGCAATACTTGCTTCAATCCCCTTACTTTGCCAAATCTATTATTCTTAATCTATTTTGTCATAATTTTTTACCATTCCTAATTGATTTTCAGCCTGGAAATATCTGAAATAAATCACGTAAAATCCACCCAGAAACACCATAAATATCTTTATCTATTCTTCTTCTTGTAATATTGGTAAATGTCAATATCAGTCTTTTCACTGCCCATACATATTGACTCTTCACGGAAGAACTAAGACCAGCAAAAAGTGGTAGAGATGGACTTATGTCCTTGAAAATTTAATACAGAAAAACATGAACACAATATAAATAGTGCAAATTAACAAATATATATAAGCACACTCTGATAATTAAATCTTAAAGTTAAAGAGTAATTATTATATTATATTTAATTATATAAATATATATATAATTAAATCTTAAAGTTAAAGAGTAACTATTATATGATTTTTAGTTTGATCAGGTATATTAGATCATATTTTACTTTGGATTAGTTGGATATGCCTTGCTAATTGCAGGCCAGCAATTAGAATTCATGGCTGCTTTGAGGAAGGAAGATAAGGCTATCTGTTCCTGGTTCTCCTTTTTAAACTTTTTATTGATTTATAGCCTCAGCAGCTGGAATCAGGGTCACTATGAATTGAGATTGACAGTTTGGTATTTTTTGGAATGCAATAAAATTGATAACTTACTTTCATTCTGAAAAAGTAAAAAAAAGGGACACAGACATATAAAAACAAAACCTAATTGCCTAGAATAATTAGAACTAAGAAAAGGAATTAAAAGCACTCTTCTTGTTTAATACTACTTTGTGTCTTCAAAGCCTTTTTTAAAAAAGTATTTTATTGGAGGTTGGTACAATTCTTATCACATCCATTTTGTCAAGCACATATGTACATTTGTTGCCCTTATCAGTCTCAAAACATTTGCCTTCTACTTTAGCCCTTAATATCCGTGGCTCATTTTCCCCCTCCCTCCCCACTTCCTCCTGAACCCTTCATAATTCATAAATTATTATAGTTTTTTCATAATTTACACTGTCCGACGTCTCCCTCCGCCCTCTTCTCTGCTGTCTATCCCCCAGGGAGGAGGCTATACTTAGATTCTTATAATTGGTTCACCCTTTCTACCCCACATTCCCTTCACCCTCCAGGCATCGCTCCTCTCACCACTGGTCCTGAAGAAGTCATCTGTCCTGGATTCCCTGTGTTTCCAGTTGCTATCTGTACAATGTACATCCTCTGGTCTAGCCAGATTTGCAAGGCAGAATTGGGATCATGATAGTGGGGGAGGGGGGGAGTTCAAAGCCTTTTATCTACAAGGATACTTAACAATCTGGTTTCTCAAAACGCAGTTGAGGTGCACCAGGTGTTGTTACTCCCACCCAGTGCAGTGTAGTAGATGCACTGTGTTTTCCTGAATTCCCAGCATCAGCTCCTGTCAAGGACATTTCTACGATGAGTCTGGCTCATAGTGCCATCCCAGGACAAGTTCAAGGAGTATAGTAATGCATATTTGTGTATATATTTATTTATTTATTTACATTACATGCCTTAGAATGACCTTGAACTTTTGTCTTGCTTCCATCTTTTCTCTTTTACCTTCTAACTCTATATTTTATAAACAAACCATATTCATTTATGGACACAAAGAAATATATAATGTAAATCCCAAGAAATTAATAGGTAACCTTCACATTTAATATGGACCATAACCATCTCATGCTCTACCTAGGAGTTGGATTTCTCTTTTGAGTTATGGCTACTTAGTTTCAACTCGCTGGCCCAAATCAACCTCACTGCCCTAGGTCAATTCCTACTCAGAGTCACCCGTATAGGACCGAATGCAACTGCCCTTGTGGGTTTCTGATACTGTGACTCTTTAACACAAAGCCTTGTATGTGTTCCAGGGAGCACCTGATGGCTTTAAAACACTGACGTTGCAGTTAAAAGATTGAGTAACCATGGTGAGGGTTCCAATAGCTGCCTAAGCTCTCTAGGAAGTCCTGCGGGTGCACTAGAAGTGTGGGGACATTTAAGCCTGTGGAAGCAAGGAGCCTATGCTTACGATTACATTACAGTCATTGTAAATATAAAGTAATATACCAAAATTTACACAAGTAACACGTTATGTATGTTTGTGTTAGTCCGGGTGACTAGAGAAACAAATCCACAGACATGTATGTGTCAGAGAGAACTTTATATAAAGAAGTAATTATGCATCAATAAAACAGCCCAGGTCAGTTCAAGACCGTAAGTCCAATATTAGCCCATGAATTCCACTACTGACTCACGCAGCACAATTAATTAATATCACTTCTGACTCACACAGCACATGTAATTATGTCAAATGCAGGAATATCACAGGACCATGGATGGGAAGTCCTGTGGGTCCTGTGGCAGTGGAAGCATCTCCAGGGCTCTGGCTGCCATCCGCGTGGTTCTACGTGGCTTGTCAAAAGGAATCTCAAGCACAAAGAAAGAGAGTGTGTCCTGGGAAGAAGAGAGAAAGTTCCCAGAATCCTTCTTTTTAGGCCATGCCCACAAAGGGACATCTTTAAGCTGTGACCTGACTGACAGACTAGGCTCCACTCCTTCATTCTGTTTATTAAATTGACATGAAATCATATCACTACCACCGCATTCATGCCAAACAACCTCTGCATGTCATTTTCATAACTGTACTATTTTAATAGTTTTTACATGATCCTGATGTCAATTTAATTTTCTTTTCTTTCCAAGAGATTGAATGTTAAGTCTTCATCTTGGTGGCCATAGATCCAGAGGTTTAGTTCCCAGCCGCAGACCCTCACTGGGCTACCCTAGAATTTTTAAAATAGCCCCTCCAACATCCAAACCCATTCCCTACTATGCAAACTGCCTGATCCAAGCTAGGAAGAAATCACATTTTTCTCCCTCGAGATAATTGTTACAGGTGTGGACAGGCACCTGTAGTATGATGGAGAGACTTCTCAGGCTTTCGAAGGTTGGAATGCTGCAGTCATGCACCTTCCACCTCACCATCCAACCAGCCAGTCTACATGGTTAGGCAGTTTGAATCTCCTGTGGGCACAGAAACCAGCTGCAGTCACAGAGGGGTTGCCTGTCCATTGTTCAGATAAGACAGTTGTGACCAGCTATTCCTCAGGCCCACGTGACTGGACCCATGCATGGCCACATCTGCACTATCCTGCTACTTAACTTCACAGGGTTACAGCACTGCAGGACCCACCACTTCATTGACCCAGCTTAGGGAAAGATCAAACTGAGCTGGTTTGTGTCAGCACTCCATCCACCACCAGCCCCTCCCTTTTCCCATGGGAAATACATAGGTGTGGATTAGCTACTAGGCACTCCATTACTCCAGGCCTGGTGACCTACCATGAAACAATGCAGTTTTCATTGTTCATGTTCTTGTTACTGGGGTATTTATTACCAAGGAGTCTTTGGCATCATGGTTACCCTCTGGGCTGCTGCATGCAGGGTCAGCATTTCAAGAACCACCAGCCACCCTGCAGGAGAAAAGACAGGGGCTTTATACTCCAATAAAGAGCTGCATAAAGGGTAGTCATAGAGATTTATATACAGGAATATACAGGAGTAAATATATTTATAATATGGGGAGGGGGAAATAGATCTATGTACATATATTTATAGGTTGAGTATTAAGAAAACAGATGGACAGTGGGCCCCTGCTCAAGTACTCCCTCAACACAAGAACACTTTGTTCTAACAGCTCGGCAGTCTGAGATGCTTACCTTCCTGGCACGAAGATAATGGGTGTACAAGCAAATGTGGTGAAGAAAGCTGATGGTGCCCAGCTACCAAAAGATATAGCATCTGAAGTCTTAAAGACCTGAAGATAAACAAGCAGCCATCTAGCTGAGAAACAACAAAACCCACATGGGAGAAGCACACCAGCCTACCCCGACAGGAATGCTGAAGACAAACCGGTGCATAAGCAAATACGGTGAAGAAAGCTGATGGTGCCTGACTGTCAAAAGATATAGAATCTGGGATCCCATAGGCTGGAAGATAAACAAGGGGCCACCTACCTGAGAAACAACAAAGCCCACATTGAAGAAGCACACCAGCCTGTGAGATCACAAGCCATCGAAGGGATCAGGTATCAGGCATCAAAGAGAAAAAAAAAAAAATCATAGCATTGTGAATGAGGGGATTGTGAAGTGGGGACCCAGGGCCCATCTGTGGGAAATTAGACATCCCCTTGCAGAACGGCTGCGGGGAGGAGATGAGCCAGTCAGGGTGCAGTATAGCAACAATTAAATATACAAATTTCCTCTAGTTCTTGACTGCTCCCCCCCCCCCATCATGATCCCAATTGTACCTTACATATCTGGCTGAACCGAAGGATGTACACTGGCAGAGATAGGAACTGGAAATACAAGGAATCCAGGACAAATGAACCCCTCAGGACCAGTGGTGAGATTGGTGATATCAGGAGGGTGGAGGGAAGGTGAGGGAGAAAGGGGGAACAGATGACAAGGTCTACATATAACCTCCTCTCTGTGGGACGGACAGCAGAGAAATGGGTGAGGGGAGATGTTGGATGGTGTAAGATATGACAAAATAATTTATAAATTATCGGGGGAGCGGGGAAGGAGGGTAAAAAATGAGGAGCTGATATCAAGGGCTCAAGTAGAAAGCAGGTGTTTTGAGAATGATGGCAACAAATGTACAAATGCACTTGATACAATGGATGTATGTATGGATTGTGATAAGAGTTGTATGTGCCCCTAATAAAATGATAAAAAAATACTTAAGCATTGACATCACCAATAAAACAGCTGACATTTTGGGGGGGGGGGGGATAGTTGTAGTCTGGGAAAATCACGTGCAGTTCCACAAGTACACTATCCTATAGGGCCTTTTTGAGTAGACATCGCTGTCAATGAGCTTGGATTTTGGGTATTTTGAGTACTACCAAAACTCCATCCATGGCTGCTCAACCATCAGCTTACACAAATATTTCTTGCACAAATATCAAAAGTAACATTTTCAGAATTTCAAATGAAAGAGAACAGGACAAAATTTACATCTGAAAATGTCACAAGACATGTAGGGTGTGCTATGCTTGAATGTTTAAACATAACTTTATCATTTCCATCAATGTGTGTGAGTATTATTTACATGGATGTACTATCTGTAAAAAAAAAATTCAGTAGTCAGAAAAATCAGCAATCACATTATGGAACATATAGTATGTTGAAAGAAAGATTAAATAACTTTAATCTTTGAGGATATTTTAAAATTACTTTTGGAAATGTGGTTATTGGAGAAGATGCTAAACTTTGTTTCCATTTATTCAAAAGGAAAAAAGTTAAATAATAAATTAATAAAATAATAATTTTATTTAATGGCAGATTATTTTTCTAAATAAAGATCCTTAATAGTTTTCCTAAGAATATACATGGAAGCTTCAAAAAGATATATAGGAAGTCTATTCTCTTCTAATTTCTTCCCCCCCATGAACTTTTGAAGCCCCCTGGTAGAATTTTCAATTTTTCACACAAATATATATGGAAAGCTTCCTTCCTGGTCTGGCCTGTTCAGACAGTCTATGTGTATTTGGTGTAAAACACTCTGCCTTTTTGCACACACAAAGAGAAATTTGGAAATGATGAGGTAGGACAATTGTGACATATATCAACACTTCTACCTCTTTGCGTCAACGTTCACCTATTCTCTTGTTTTGGGTATGCCAGAAATATTCCAGATTTCTGTCAAAAATTCAAAAAAACAAACCCTCACTGCCATTGAGTCATTGCTGACTCATAGCGACCCCCTCTGGATGTCTGAGACTGTAACTGTTTAAGGCGGTAGAAAACCCGGTCTTTCTCCCACCGAGCTGCTGCTGATTTCAATTTGCCGACCATGCAGAACGCAGCCCAAGTAACCCTGCACCACCAGGGCTCCTGAAAATTCATGATTAAATATTTCATTCTTCTAAAACAACTAATTCCCAAGAACGTTCAGGTATAAGAAATGCTCTTTGACTTGCTGTATGTCTTACTTTTACCCAGTACTAAATAGAAGGGAAAGAATAACCAAAATGGGAAAGAATAAGCAAAACCAAACAAAAACTTGAAAGCAATACGTCAGAAAATAAAATGACAGCAGGCTGATAGAATGTACTGTCTTGATATTCATTATTATCGTAGAACATGTAAGCACAGCCACCTCCCAATTGCTTCAACATCCCTTTCTTTTCAGGACTCTTCTGAATAGTCACATAAGTGTAGATATTGATTATATACTTTTGATGATTATGTATATTATATAAGGGTAGATATTGAACAAAGGCACAGAAAGCATACCAATGTGGTGCTTATTTTCATCTAGTAGATATACCATTTTAAATTATAAGCAGTTTCTGGCTTATGAATGAGGTCTGTTCCTAAGTGCCTCTTTTAAGTCTAAATAAGTCTTGAAGTTGATACTGTAGGTAAGTAAAAGAGGTGCATTTTGTTCTTATTATTTGAGAACAACAGAGGCCCTGGTGATGTAGTAGTCAAAGCATTTGGTTGTTAACCAAAAGGTTGGTAGTTCAAACCCACCAGCAACTTCATGGGAGATGATCGAGGCAGCCAGCTCCTCTAGTGGTTTTGATTCTTAGCAAGATTTTGACAATCACATAAAATCCCTGACCCACTCTGGTATTGTGACCAGTTTCTATAATTGTTGACAGCAGGGGACAAGGGAGACAAATAAGAATCCAATGGGGGAGGGAGAGGGGCCTTTAAACAGAGCTGCAGTCAATGAGCATGGTTGAAATAAAGAATTTACTGTTGTCCATAATTAAGAGGGATTCAGAAGGTCTCGACTTCTGCTCCTTACAGCCTCACTTGACCGGAGTTAACAGTTATTTATCCTAAGTTCTCAAATCTGGGTAAAACTCTGGATATCCAGTTTTGTCTTCAAAAGGCCCAACATATGTGCAACATTTGGGATTTGTGAATAATGTGTTTTGCTGGGCCAACAGTCTAAACACCAGAGTATTTGTTCGAAGTAGTAGTTTGTTCCCTAATGAAGATGCCACAATGCAATTGTTGTAGAAAAATAATAATTACTTCAGGACAGATGGCAAAGTGTCAAGATGGGGAAATTGTCCATGAAATTCTGCTTTTAGATGCTGAATGTGGTGAAGGATAAGAGTTTGACTGAGTACTCAAGGAGGAGGATTTACATGGCCCAGAATCACGCACGCATTGCTCAACTCTTCCTTTTCTTAAATAATGCAATCTATGCCTAAGGGCTGGAAGAGTAGATGATAATGTTAATCCTTTAAATAAGTACTTTCTCTGAGTGATGCCAAAGCATGATTGTGTTTTGGGGTGTCTTTAAGGGGCATGTGTGTATTCTAAATTCTGAAATTAAAAATAATAAACGACTCACTGCCACCGAGTCAATGCTTCCAAGTCTTGTTTCCAAGACTGTGACTGCTCACGTGAGTAGAGAGCCCAGCCTTTCTCTGTGGGGCTGTTGGTGGTGATTTTGACCTGCCCATCACGGGGCTCGGAGCCCAACATATAACCACTCCACTGCCTGGGCTCCCTCTGAAATGGAAGAGGACCAATAATTTTGAAAATATAGTAATATATATTTTAATAACTTAAATACCCATATGTCAACCATCTGGATTTTAAAAATTAAATGTTAATAGTGATATATCTTTAACTTTTGCAATTGTTCTTTTGTAGTGATATTTGAATAGCCTTTATACCTATATTTAATCACACGCCTCTGTGGGAATTAGCCAATATACATATAGTTTACTTGACTCAGTAAATGAAATATTTGATATATTGTATCAAAAAATAAATTTGATTGACATGTTATTATTTGATGAATCCTTTGCCTTCCTGATTGGAATATACAACAATGCTGATATTTTTAATGTAATATTTTAATTATCTGAGTATTAAATAAATTCATGATTGATTATAATAGGAAATATTTGCTTAATCTCAGCAAAGTTATTGAAGTGATATATAAAAATTGGTGAATGAATGCTTAAGATTGCCTGTAGTAGTCATTTAATCACCACAAAATAGGTTTGTAATTTAAATCAGTAAGGACTAACAAAGTTAGTATGGTGCTAAGGTAGACAGATTTTGCCAAACTATTCTGATGCCTTTTATGGGACACAGTCGGAGAGCAGGCAGGTACAAATCAGTGGCCACATGAATGGTCCCATGGGAGTAGCATGTGTGTCAGATTGCTATGGCACTGTTTGTATTGACCACCACTTCTGCATAGTTAATGACATTAGAAATTTATGTTACCCTTTGTTGAACATAGATAACTTTGTCCAGCCATACATGACAATTTGACACATTTCTTCTTTTATTCATTAATCCACTTTTGAAATTTTCTTGTGGCATATCTATATCTCTCTATATATTGCCAGGCAGAAGTGGGAGTTAGCAGGACAGGTAGGATAGAAGATAGAGGTGGTGAAAACACTTCAAGGACTCTACAAGAGGCCAAC